CATGCTGGTGCAACACTGGGCATGTGTATGCGCCGTAGTCCAGCCCCGCAAACCCGCCCACCACCCGCCCCTCTTCCCTTCGGTGCGTCTCGGTCCGCCCGCAGCAGTCTCCTTCTCGGCGAGGGTTCACTACAGAGATGGCTGCGAAAGTGTGCAGATCAGTACTCCTGTTGTCCCGGAGCAGCGGAGCGGTGGCCGGCAGCCTCCCCGCACTTGTTGTCTCTTCACAGCGACATCATCAGCACATAAGACCGGTAAGTCCCAGGACATCTGTGTGCGCACAAGGGGAGAGGTGTGGGACCGGGGGGCAGGCAGGCTGGACCCGGAGAGAAAAGCAGCGGTGGTGGTGGCGGCTGGGCTGGCTAAGGAAGTAAAGCTAACTAGCCTCAAGATTTTCCGTTCATGTCTTTTCACGGAGAGGTGAGGCACAAGATGAGTCATGAATGTGTATGCCGACCCGGTGCCGTGTGGTTATTTTAATCCACAGTGGGACGTGGAGCTTTTGACAGAGGCAATGCAGTTTTTTTTTTTTTTTGGAGCGCTTGCTGAAGCCCATTAACACCCCACTGCTGACACTGCCCCGCCGTTTACTGTACCCAGCCCTTCAGACACTCTGCCCTGCTTTCACACAATGCCTCATATGTCTTCTCCCGCGTCCTTCAACTTTGCAGGCGTATTATTTTCCCCCTCTCCAACCAGTGTTTGTTCTGATTCTGTGTGTGGATTTGAATGCGATCCCGTTTTGAAGCTATATTCCTGCAGTAGATGTTGGGATCGGTTTCATCACCGACGGCCGGCGGATGGGTGTCTTATGTTTGTTGCATTAAGGATGTTTGGTGTGAGCAGCTTTAACGGGCTGCAGCAGCTTTTCCTGAAGGTTTTGGTTGACAGTCCATGACCGATGGTTCCCCACCATCTCTCTGCTTCTTACATGCTGTGTGAACTGCAGTGTGTGTGTGTGTGTGTGTGTGGTGGTGGTGCAGAATAACTCAGAATAATGAACCCAGAGCTAGAGAAGAAAACTACAGTTGTGCTTGTGTGTTTGTGTGTGTGTGTGTGACAGATAACTCTCACTGTTTATTCATACACACACACACACACACATATGAGACTTCACAGAGACATGGACACTTGGATGATGTCAGACTCTCCAGCCAGCCTGCTGTTTCTCCCCTCCCTGCGGGTGTTTCCCCATTCAGCTGGGAGATCCTGGGTTTTCCTGCAAGCTGATGTGGGCCCTTTTTTTTTTTTTTACACGGACACTGTAGCAAAAGATTGCAGCCGCAAAAAAATGCTCACAATAACAGCAAGGTAATTGTGTTTACCAAGCTGTCACTACAGTGCAGTAGTTGCACATCTTGTTCTTGCCTTTGTGACCCACTCCCTCTGCTGAAAGTCTGAGCCTCCACAGCGGCTGCCTGAGGAGGGAGGTGAGGCACAGGGTGGATTTGAATACGAAGGAATGAGGAAGTCATGGCTGCTTGAGAGCTACTTTCACAGTAGCTTGGAGTACTGTGATTTTTTTTTTGTGATTCTTCTCTTTGCCTTACTCCTTTTCTGTCTTTCTTTTAATTTTTTTTACTCTATTTGTCTTGCGATTACCTTCCCCCCTCTCTCTCATGTTTTTTTTTCTGTCTCACTCCTTCCTTACACAAACACTAGCACACTTGCCACAGGCCTTGTGAAATTAAATGAGGCTCTTCTTCCTGTGAAACAGACCGGTCTGGAGGTTAAGTAGCTGTCAGAATAGACTCGCTTGGTCCACATCTCCACACCGGCCCCTGGTGCCGTCGCCCACTGTGAACTATTACAATAGAGCACATTTACCCCCGTGGAGAGGTAATATTCTCCCCTCTTCTGAAATAAGTATGCCTATTTGAATTTCCCTCTGGATAAATAAAATATCCATCTATCTATCTATTTGAACCGTAAGTGATTTAACAGAGGGAGTTGCGGCTCACTGTGTTTCGGCAGACTTGGCCCTAATAAGTTTTCATTTTATTTCAGTCCGCTCAGGTTGTAGTTTTGTTTGCTTGTCATATTGTGTCTTCGTCCATTGGAGCGTTGCTGCGGCTGCAGTTCCTAACTCGGGCCTGTCACAGTGTGACAGCCAAGCTTCTGTATTCATTTGTGACTCCTTCACTGCAGCGTGGGAACTCTGTTTTCCACAGTGGTGTCTATAAAGCTGCAGTGGGACAGGTTCTTATGAGTTGTCATTAAGCATGTAGTGTCTCTTAGCTGGGCATTGTTCCTCAAAAGAGAAGAAAGAGAGAGAACAGGTCTGACTGCTGCTTCTGTAACGCGGTGCAGACGTGATGGGTCAACCCCCCGGGGATGCAAAGCAGACTGTGGGCTCCAACGCTCACATTTAACCTGCGCCGAATTACTATTGAGTCAGCTGTCATATAAAATGCTGCTGTCCTGAAGTGTGACAGGGGAGTTGAGTCATTGTGAATAAAGAGTCCTTGTAAAAGGGTTATAAATGACAGGGTGAAGTGGGGTTTTCTGTACTAGGATTTGGGTTAGGGTTAGCAGGTTAAGTTAATATTTCCATAGGCCATGTCTAGAAGTATAGAGAAAATCAAATAGTGTTTTCTTTAGTTATTTATTTCCATTTAAGCCAACGTGCTCATCAAAGCTGAGCAGTTGGTGGCTGTAGTCTTTTGGGCCAGGGGGTCGAGGCCCACTCCTGGCTTTTAATCCAATCAGTGTAGGAGTAAACTAATTTATCCCCGCTGCCTTCACGGGCTCAGTGCTGAAGTTATCCGGATTAGTGCGATAAGAGAGTGACTGTCAGTTTGTAGCTGTGGTCTGCTATAAAGGCGATAAGATGGTTGAATGATTGATAAACCTGTCCACCGCACAGGCAGTTTCATTAATGTAGTCCTGCCCTTTGTGGACTAACTGGTTTCTTACTCCATTCACAATCTCATATTTACACGTATAATTGAGAGTGGAAACCAGTATATTGTATGGAGGCCCAAACATTTTGACATGAAATGATGAATGGACTGTCACATTAGCTGCCATTTTGTAAAGGCTAATTAACGGTTTTATCCTCCACTTTGACATGATTGACAGGTGTATGGCCCTTTTCTGTGTGGAAAATAATGGATGGCATTTTTGTGTTGAAGCTTTTATTGGCTTTCTCTTCTCAGATCTTATCATATCATGTCTGGTACTCCTGCTGGAGAGGAAATCTCAATAATCTCTGGTCAGCGCGGCTGTACTGTTCCATCTTTTCATTGATATTTGATTACTATCTGTACACTGAGGCAATTTTAATGGGCATGATGTGCAGTTTGGAGGGTTTTCTTTAGTGGGTGAGAAAATTGATCTAAGTTTTCCCGGGGGGTTTCATAGACTCTTGCTAGGTAATGTGAGGTGAAGTAATATGATAGAATTTCAGTCATTCGAAGGTATGGTTTAAAAAATCATTGATTTGTTTGATTTGTTTGATTTGTTACCACCGTTGCTGCTGCTGGTCTTTCCACTTTCCACATTAGCATACAGTATAAACTGGCTCTGGTAAAGTGCTACCTATACCAGACTAGCTTTAAAAAATGCTTTATTAAGTACTTTATGAACCTCAAAAATTAAGAAATTTAGGCTAGGATTGCATAAAAGAGGAACCTGTTTCAGGGCTGAGAGCTATTAAGTTGTCAAATAATAAACCCAGATCAGCAATGTAACAATATTAAATATTCATATCAAAAAAGGTTCAATGAAACAATTTGCACATTTGTTTGCTTAAGTCTGGTCTCGGACCGATAATCATTCAGAAACAATACAGTGTAACTCAGCATTAAGCCATTTTTTATATATATCCCCACTAAATCAAACAAGTCCACTACTGGCTGCCCTCTTCTTCAGTGTTTGAATTAGTTTTAGGTAGCAGGCTGTAGAGCAATGAACAGGAAATAGACAGACAACCAATCTTGTGTCACCGGGCAAGCGGGCAGGCCAGGCACTCTGCTTCAGTGGCAACCTATCTTAGTTAGACCAGTGTCAAGCTACAGAATGACTGCATTTACCTTGATGAATTTGCCCTTGTAGAGGACTTCAGTACCCAGTAAAACCTTGAATTTGTCACAAGCTGCGACCCCTATGTGTTTGTGATTTTTGTGTTCCAGAAATGAGGCCATGTTGCTACACCAGTATATCCTTTGTTGTGTTAGTAAAGCGGCGTGACCCTTTTTAGTACTGCTGTTTGCTCTCATTTGTTTGTGTGTGGGCAGGGGATCAGGGTAAAAGGTAAGCTAGAGATGGATGGATGGATGAACAAACAGCAATTAATCATTTGATCATCAAAGGAGCAACACAAGATACTGAAAGATATTAGTGCTGAACTGAATAATATCACTCTAATTTAAAAACAGTGGAAAAACAAATGCAGATGTGCAGCAAATACAGAAAATTGTTTTAATTTGCATTTACTTGACATTTACTATCAAACAAAACAATATTCTTTTGAGATAATTGTTTTGGAACAATTTGGCTGGTATGTGAAGCACACAATCATATTGTTCCGCTATAACTACTGCTATAGCACTATTTTAAAAGTTGTGACTCGAGATCTTGACACCATATGTGGTCTCATTTTTTTCCTGTGAGACTCATGTTTCAGTGCCTTTGCTGGCATCTCATGGCAGTGTAGTAAAAGTGTCACAGAGCACCTCACCATTTAACAAAATAACAGAGTGTGTGTTGTCAGCTTGGTACAGTGATGAAATGCGGATGGCTTTGTTTCTGACAGAGCTCCTGTCAGCTCAAGTGGCGATCACCCTGGCCAGCAGTAACCAGAGTAATTTCCAGTGTCTGCTATGGTCTGGGAGCTGTATGGCTGACCTGGCAGGCGTTGTGTGCATTGGTGCATTTGTTCAGCTGCAGCCCCTTTTTTTTTTTTACCATTTTCTACAGTCTCCATCATCCTTCTCACTGTTTCCATTACAATTAGGTTGACAGGTCTGTGAGCTGGTTGAGCCAAAGCCTGAGTATCTGAGAGTCAGATTCATCAGAGCTCAGTGTTGACATAGTTCTTGGTGAAATAGGCAGTTCAAATATAAGCCTGAAGAGACTGAAGAGCTAACATTCTTACAATATTTCAACATCTCATTGACTAAAGTGGGTCATTATACTGCATTTGTTGGGTATTGTATAGTGAAAACCACATTACAACATCTCATGGCACTTCTTGATGTTTTAATGTTTTTGTTAATTGCTTCAAGTACTGCTGCAGGTACCCCTCATAGAA